AACTCTCTTACACACACACACACACACACACACACACACACACACACACACACAAATGTTAGAACTAAATATTCTTGTAACACTTTATTGTCAACTTTAGACATTCTACTAACAGTAAGTAACTTTGCAACTACATGTCAGCTAGCAGTCATTAGAGTATTAGTAGATATATCTTCAACATCTTCTAACGCTTTATTTTGATGGGTCCACAACATACAACTTACTGACTATGTCAACTCATTCTACTAAACCTAACCTGACCTAACAGTCTGAGAGTTAGCTGACATGTAGTTGCAAAGTTACTTACTGTTAGTAGACTGTCTAAAGTGGACTATCAAAATAAAGTGTAACCAAAATTCTTATAGTAATTTGTATAAAATGTTAATTTAACTTTAATATTGGATATACGTTCTCATAACGTTGAGAGAAAAATGTTCTTAAAACAACAAAATGTCCTTTTGGTGTTATTTGTACTTGATTAACATTCTAAGAAACGTTTTTGTAACCTTTAAATAACGTTATAATCATGACAAGAAAACTGGACATTTCAAAACAATATTCCCACATTATTTTTATAGTCTAAATGACCTGGGTTCAATCTTGTTTGTATAGTTGACCTCAGCTTTATTGACTTGATTGTTTGCAGTCATGGTGAATTAAATATGTCTTTAAAATGCTTTTCTTACAGAAACTGAAGAACCAGATTGAAAACGTCATGGCAGACATTCAGGATTTCAAATCAGCAGAAGACACGTGAGTGGATGGATTTGTCTCATGATCAGAGAGAATACGCTTCATGACGAACATTTGGATGCTTTCTGTAATTCAGATGCAGAGAAACACTATCAGCATCACTCACTAACTAACCTTCATCTCGTCATACTGACTCACACCGCTATTTTACTATTATTTATATACTACTATAGTTTTTATTCATATTTAGAGTTTTTATATTTTCAATTTTTATTTTAATATTAGTTACATAACTAGCAATTTTGTTATGTGCTTTTGTCATTTTTATTTAAAATGACAAAATATTATTGTTTTTTTAATTTTTATTGTACACTTTGTTGTTTTTTGTTTTATTTTATATTAGTTTAATTATTATTATTTTTAAATATTACTATTTTTTTCTTTATTTCAGTTAGCTGTCAAGGTTCAAATTTTTTGTTTAGTTTTTCATCTAATATTTATACATTATTTCAGTTAACAGAAATGTTTCTAATAGTTTTAGTCAGTTACTTCATTAGTCTGTCAGATGTTCTGGTTGTGAAGTTGTTTTGCGTGACTCTTTCACAGTAAGATGCTGGAGAGGGAGAAACGCTTCTGTAGCGGTAAGAAGAAATTCAACATGGATCCTAAAAAGGTGAGATCTGGAGGATGATGATGATGATGAGATGAAGAGAGGAACGTTCACAGACACTCACCTCCACACATTCGTCATACTGTTGGAGAGACTGATTTCATTCTTTACCGTAAACCTTAGATTTGAGACAGAGAGAGACACGGCTGAGACATTCAGTCTCAAACTGCAGTAGTGTTGTACAGGTCTGTGTGTGTGTGTGTCTGTGTGTGTGTGTGTGTGTGTGTGTGTGGGAGAGAGTGACAAACGGAGTGACGTGGAGGATCTGAATACTGTCAGGTCAACACCTGAAATACTTTTGGTTTTTCTTGTTCTGAATCCTTGTGGTTTTGCTGCTGCACGTTAAACAGCGAGACCCCCATGAGCTGCTGCAGACCTGAAGAGCTGAGAAGAGACGACAGAGAGACAGACATGCGAACGTTTGATCTCTGTGAGGTTCAGAGACAAGTGTGTTACCACCACAAACACACTAAACAAATCGATCTAGACTATAGACAACACACACGCACATGCACTAGTGTTCATAAGTTTGGGGTCAGTAAGTCTCTCCTGCTCAGCAAGGCTGCGTTTGTTTAATCAAAAATGGGATACAAATTGTGAAATATTATTACAGTGTAAAACTCAAGAAACATTTCTGATTATCATCAATGTTGAAAACAGTCGTGCTGCACAATATTTTTGTGGAAACTGTGATGCATTTTATTTTTCAGGATTCACAGATGAACAGAAAGTTCAAAAGAACAGCATTTAGTTGAAATAGAAATCTTTTGTAACATTAGAAATGTCTTTACTGTCACTTTTGACATCTAATCTCATCTAATATCGTAGGTGACCAAAGCTTAACTAGAGTAATAGTTTATCTGATTTTGCATTGAGGGTTTTAGTCTTTCTTTAGTCATTCTGCTGAAAAGGGAAGTGTGGGTTTGAAGGAAAATCTCTAAAAACAGATGTTGAACTCTGGAGGAACTGGTGTGGACGGAGCTGATAAACTCAAACGAGCGTCTCTTCTGTGCTTTATCTCGGTCTGTGACAGTCACTGAACGGCTCAAACGGCTCTGTGTTTCAGGGAATCAAGTATCTGGTGGATAATGAGCTTCTGGATTGGAAACCAGAGCGAGTGGCTGAGTTTCTGTATAAAGAGGAAGGACTGAATAAGACCGCCATCGGAGACTTCCTAGGAGAGAGGTGACATATGACCCAAACATCAGATGTGTTTGTGTGCGTGCGTGCGTGTGTGTGTGTGTGTGTGT